TGTCCATCTGTCTGTCTGTGTGTGTGTCTGTGTTTGTGTCTGTCTGTCTGTCTCTGTCTGTCTGTCTGTCTCTGTCTGTGTCTCTGTCTGTCTGTCTGTGTCTCTGCCTGTGTCTCTGCCTGTGTCTCTGCCTGTCTGTCTGTGTCTGTAAATAACAGTCAATATATTTTACATCTGTTCAACATCTGTTCTGTATGAAATCCTCGGACTGTACTTGTATCTGTGGTGATCAATGTCCTGATGTTGTTGAAACTTGAGAAACTTTTTATTAAAGAGTTAAAATCATCCTGAGGATCTTTCACTTGCCTCAGCTCAGTGAACTGAGCCTCGTCTGACACATAAAAGAACTTTGTTCGTCTTTATAGAACCCAAAAGGGATTTTTCTTTAAAACCAAACAGCTCGACTCAAACCTGAACGCACTCTGGAGACGCTGAGCTGAATTATAACAAGTGTTAAGTTTGATTTTCAGGACGGAGAGTTAGAAACACTGAAGAACACCTGGAACATTTCCACTGATGTTTGAACGTGTTGTTGATGTAGAACTTGGTTCTGCAGCTTCTTGAGATTATCAAGTTCCTGGTGGATTTGAGTTTTATTGTTTTTTTTATTGCTTTATTTTAATTTTAATAAATAATCCTCAATATCTTTCTTTGTCATAACATTAGCCACTTTTAAAAATGAATATTGTTCTATATCATATTGGAAAGTTTTTGCCCCAAATATTAGGTTTTTTTTATCAGCCTCCAAATATCAGGTTTTAATCGTGCTGCAGAATATGAATGTGAGTCTGTGATAAAGCGTGGAAAATATTTTTGTACCAAACTTCAAAGCTAATTTATTTAAAGAGAATATCGCTGATTAATCAGAACTCTGCGGCTCATTAACTGGAGATGTGAGCTGTCGATTTCAGGGCCTCGTGATGAAAAACTAAAATCTCTCTCTTGTTAAAATGAGGGTCACACTTGTGTGTGTTTATGTAGTTTCTCTTCTGTCTTCATTCCGGAGCGCAGTCTTTTCATTTTGAGAACATTACTTATTCATTTCACGGCGTTGCGAAGCTTTCCCTCCAAACTCTGCCCTCGCTTTCAAACCGTCCCTCTGCTCTCTCAGGCTGCCTCGGTGCACTCGACAGCATTTTAGCTTTGCAACATCTGAACATGAACATAAAATGAATAAATAATGTCGAGAGAACGAGTGCAGCCTCCGTGTGTTTCCTCTGCTCCTGTTGTGACGACATCACGGCTTTAATTGAAGAGCAGGAAGTTGTGTGTTGCAGTCAAACGTTGTTTTAAAGCCGTTATGTTTCCACAATCTGATTTGCTTGACGTTGCCTCCGGCGCTTCACAAAATGGAGGTTAATGGTTTTCAAATGTCAGTCTGAGTGCGTGAGAGAGAAGGTGAAGGAAGAAGAGGAGGTGGAGGAGGAGAGGAAGACGTTTGTTTCACACATCTGAAGCTCCTTCTATCCCCGATTAGGGTTTGAATATCTGAATTAAAATTTTTCTTTCAGCCACAAACCTGACAGGAATAGAAACCTGTTCTTCTGAACGAGCAGCTTCACACAGAAAAACAAACACGGTGAAAACGACTGCAGCCTCCGTCTGTGTCTGAGCGGCTGCTGCCGCCACTCGTCTGCTCGTTTCTCTTTCTTTCTTCAGGTTGCTCGATTTATTTCTTATCCTTCCTGCACAGTTTGTCTTTTGTCAGTCGTTCATTAGTTTCCTCGTTAAATACAAGTGATAACAAAGACACAGGGATTCCTGCAGCTACAGAGGCTGACAGATAAGACTTGTGGAGACAAAGGTGAAACGCTCTCTCTGTCCTGTGTGACTGACAGGTGTTCTGGTGGTGAACGTGACGTGGAGGAAGAGAACATACGTGGGAACCTTGTTAGACTGCACCAAACACGACTGGGCTCCGCCGAGGTAACGACACTCTATTTCACATCCTCTCTTTCAAACTATACAGACAACCAGAGGGTCAGTCAGCCGACAGGCCCATCCAGCAGAAATACACAGTATCCAGAGTGGATTGTTTAAAAAACTACACACTATGTTAAAACACTATATACAAATACACAAACTACAATATATCACAACACTATGCAAACAACAATTCATGAAGACGTAGCTAGAAGCTGTTGGAATTGGATCATTCCCAGTGGTTTGTGGGACGTGTAGTTCCTTCACTCTTAAAATAATTATGGACACAGTCTTGAACCTTTTTTTTTTCCATTTTCCAGAATTGTTTTGTTCAGAATCAGATGTTTGATGGTCACAGTTCGACCTGGATCCTCGATGACGTTGAATTTCAATATTAAAAACCAGGCTCGTCACGTCACAGAAGCTGGGCAGTGTGTTTTCAATTATCTGAGTTTGAATAGACAGAAGCACCGTTGCTGTATAGTTGCCATTAAAATGAAATCTGAAATCAGGCACCGCTGCTGAGTTTATTTCCCTGTTTGATTTTTATTGTTATTCTTATTGGCCTTTATTTGCTGCTGATGTTTTTTTTTTTGATTAACTGAAAAGAGCACTTGTTTTTGTCAAAGTGCTTTAATGTTGCTGAAATGATAAAAAGTCTAATTTGGCTCTGGGGCTGTCAGATGTTATTCCACGACTTGAACAGAAAACACTCTCCGCTCTCCGTCCCTGTACAAACAGAGTGGTTTCTGTAATTGCTGAGTGGAAATTGTGACAGTCTCTGCTCACAGGGCTGAAACCTCTCAATTATTGCTCTTGCACGTAAATGATTGTTGTCATGGCAATTACAGCTTAATCTCAGAAACCAGAGTTGGAATTGTTTTTTTTAATTTGGACTCTATTCGCTGCGGACGTTTGAATTCGCTTCATTATTTAATTCAATGAGATGAAACGCTTCCTCTGACGACTCGTTATCACCGAAAGATAAAAGATGTGATGATTAAACTGAAATATCAAAATAAAATAAACACAAATGGTAAGAATGTGTTTATTATAAACATCTGTGCTAAATCGCTCGTCAGAATCAAAAAGCTTTTTGAATAGTGACGAGAAACCTTCTTGAAATGCGGAAAGAAAATGCGTAAAACATTTCAGTCACACGTTCCCACAGCTTCAGTGACATTCAGGGACAAACTGATGTAGAAAAGCAATTACAAACATCATAAGAAATGTGAGATATCATCATTTTAAAATCACAGAGGGGGGACAAGTCTGTTCTCAACGTGCTCTGCAGTCTGTTCCATTAATACGGTGATTAAGACCTAAAACAGTCTTTCCAAGGTCAGAACTCATTCATCGAGTCTTTAGCACCAAGCAGTCCTGTGATGTAGTTTTGTAATTAATGCAATAAAGGCCAAGATGAGGTTTACACTGGATAATCAAAGATAAATCCATTTCTGACATCGGTTTTTGATAAACGTGACAATGTGAGACTGTAGAAAAGCATCACCAGTGTAAAGATGAAGGAACTGATGAACAGATGAAGTAAACCCGCATGAAAAGACCTGAGAGCTAAGGGACGGCATGTGAATACAGAATGACTCGATATCAAATACAGAGATAACCGTGTACAGGATTTCTTTATGTTATCAAAAGAGGCGGGTCTATTCGAGCCCTGAATGATGAAGTGTCAGTGTGTGAGGTGCGATGCTATGAGGGGGTAATGATGTGAAGTTGAATTTGGTTCCAAGCTTTCAAAAACAACAACAAGGAAAATGCCAATAGAAGGTGATACGATAAGAGATGATTCAAACTTTTTACATGACACGACACACGATCCAGCTCATCCAGGTGCCAGATTGTCAGTAAGTGATTATTAAGAAGAATTTTCCTCTAAATCCGTTGTTCCTCTTCCTCTGTCCAGATTTTGTGAGTCACCCTCCAGTGACCCAGAGTTGCCAGGCGGACGTGGCCGGGGGAAACGGATGCGAATGGCCATGGCTGAGCGGCCCTGCATTGAGCCGGCTCCCGTTGCCAAAGTCCGAGGTCTAACACAGCACAGGAGCCGTGGAGGAGGTGTGGCTGGAACCGCCGCGCCGATCCACAGCAAGGGACGGAGAGGTAGCCTCAACCTCATCAACAGCAGCTGCCGAACTCCACCTTCTTTCTTCACCGTGGATGATGTGAAATCTTCCCATAGCTCCCCCACCCTTTCTTCTGGGAAGCGAAAGAACAAACCTCCGGCTGACCTGGACCTCAGCATGGTCTCTTCTGACGACATTAAAAATGGAAATGGGAAGCGGATTCGAGCCAAATCCCGCAGCGCCCCGTCCACACCCCAGGGCAAATCTGACCCTTCATTCATGGATCCAGGGGGAGGTTGTGCCTCTTCTCCACCCCCACCCATTCTCATTGACTGTCCCCACCCCAACTGCACTAAACGCTACAAGCACATCAACGGACTGCGCTACCACCAGACACATGCACACCTGGAGGCTGAGGAGCAGAGGAAGCCGGAGCTGGAGCCCATGAAGGATGGAGAAAGTGAGGAACGACTATCGGACTGTGAGGACACCATCAGCAACATAACATATGACCTCACAGAGCCGAACAACAGCACTAATGCCAACAGTTCCTCAAAGAAACCTGCACCTCTGTACAAGGTGACCACAGTAGGGTCTCCAAAGAACAGACGGCTACTCCTGAGTACCGACCACAGCCCCACAGCTAACTCTAAAACCAGAAGAACCTCACTGCTAAAAGATGGGCTTATTGATGACCTCAGCAATCTGCCCATCATCTCCAACATGACCGTGGTTCTGGAGAACTGCATGGTCCCAGACCGGAACTCTATGGTAGAGATGCCCAAACTTGAAGCTGAAGGTTTGATCGACAAGAAGGGAGGTGCATGTGATAAAGGCAAGAAGGCCAATGGGAAGGTAGAGAAGCTAAACAAGTCACGGACCAACAGGCCAATTGCTCCAGCTCCTGCTCCTCCCAAGCTCATCGCCATACCCAATGCAACGTATCCCACCGGCACAGCAGATCCTGCCACCTCACAGCAGCCCTCTCCCATAGCAGCTGTGGGCCTCACAAGTAAAAACCTTCCTCTAAAACCCATCAAACCAAAGCTGAGCATTGTTGTGGAGCCGAGTCTGGTCAAAGCAACCCTGGTTACCTGCAGCAAAGAGACCAGGAAGAAAGAAAAGCGGAGGCTGAAGGACAAACATAACAAAGAGGAGCCCGCCAGGACACCTAATGGAGACAGCAGCGGGATCAAAATGGAGGATGGTGGCAGTGGATCTAAAATGGGTGTCAAGGAAATTTCTGGAAGCCTTCTGAAGGAGCACCTCAGTAAGCAGGACGTGATGAATGGACTTACGGAGAGTCAAGAGAGCAGGATGGCCAGTATCCGTGCAGAGGCCGATAAGGTCTACACCTTCACCGACAATGCCCCCAGTCCCTCCATTGGCAGTTCATCCCGGCTCGATGCAACTGGTAGTTGCCTCGTAGTAGCTGACAGCAGCAGCAAGAACAACAGTCCCGCTTACTCTGACATCTCAGATGCCGGGGATGATGGATCCTCTGAATGTCGGTCAGATGGGCTCAGGTCCAAGTCTAGCTCGTCTGCCTCTTCTGACGTGAGCTCTAACGGTACCCATGGGAACTCTGGTAAAACCCCTCCCTCTTCATCTGCCCCATCATCAAAAGACTCCCAATCTCCATACTACCACAGCTACGAACCCTACTACCTGCCGGGGTACATGCAGACGGAAAGGCAGAACAGCAGCAGTGTTGCTTTCCACAAAAGCTCTGCCCATGACGGCAAAGGGAAAGACAGAAAGGAAGACGTGAAAGAGGATGACAAAAGCTCTTCCAATGAGTTCTTGGACTCTAAGAAAGGCGACGGGCCGCCTCAATCCCAGCTACAGCTGGCGATGAGTCAGACCCAGACTGCTTTAGCCCAGTCCCTGTACTATGGCCAGTACTCCAGAGGACTTTACATGGACCAGAAACTGTTACTGGCCTCCAAATGCTGTGACCAGCCACCGGTTGCCAAGCAGAGGGGCGAGAGGGGACAGGGGTTGAGAGACAGTGAGGACCTTAAACATATGGTTGGAGGCTCAGCCAGTGGACCCATGCTAGGGAAGGGTCCAGACGGTGCTAAAGGCTGCTGTCCCAAACCCATCCTGTCCTACGTGGAGATGAGTGAGAGAGGAGAAAGGGGGCAGGGTCTGAGCTTAAAGGCGGCTCACGGTGGAATGGTGGACCAGCACCAGGTCTCGATGAAAGACTGTGATGACATCAAGTCACCCTCTTCTTCCTCTTCTTCATCACTCCACAACCCAAACAGTCAGACAGATCTGGACTCAAATGTTTCCTTTTCCAGTGTAAGTTTCTCCCTCTGTTTATAACCTGCCGCCGCCGCTGATGGTGTAGTTGGTGTTTTGATGACTGTCGTTGAGCGTCACAAAGAGATTAATCACATGTTGTGTCCAGTTCAACCAACAGGTGCTAATTACAAAGACAGAGTGGCCTCTGTGGTGCTGTAGCTCTACTCTGGCAAACTGCTCAAGTCATTTTGGTTTAAATCAAAACCATGAAGTTTGATTTGATGGATGAAAATGTTTTTTAATGTCTAGAATGAGAATTATTGGAAGAAATGTGTAATTCCAACTTTAGCTGTAAATGTAAAACATATAAACTAAAAGAAACTAAGTAAACTTTCTAATAACTGTTGGTTTTGATATATGAGCTGCTTTTTCAGAAAGCTTGTACAGGTTTTTAATCGAGTCATCGCACAATGCATTTAACAGCTAACTCTAGCCATGCTGGGTCGTGTACAACTGTTGTATGAATGGAATCACGCCTTGCTGGGAGGGAAGGTTGTGTTTTCCTTGGATTTGGCTGCAGTTTATCATTTGTGAGCCGTGTCTTGATTGGTGTCATTGAGAGGAACGTCACGCTCCTCACATCCCACCGCTGAATGGCCGCCCGCTGTCGAAACGTCGTCATCCTTCATCAACATCACACCCAGAGCCAGTGATAGGTGGTCTGTCTATGGCTCTGTTCACCCAAGTACACAGTGTTTCCTCTATATTCACTCAGCAGCGGTGGGCCGCCGCCGCAGGAGATTCTTCACCCCTGCTAAAAAAGTCTATGTACAAATGAAAGTAATGAATCAGCCTAAATCGGGGCTAACATTTAGACTTATTATGAAAAGGCATTTACCATTAGTTCTGCAAATGACCATATTTAAACAAAAACTGGGACAGAGACATGGACTGAAGTTGAACTGACCTCAAAACGACTCCCACCCACCACTGTTAACAAAGAATTATAGGGGAAACACTGCAACTAGCACCAACACTTGTCCCCATCGATCTAGCCCTCAGACGGACCGGCCTGGGCTCACCGCCTCGCTCACAGCAAATACTCAGAGCTGCAACACGGAGAGGAGGCAGAGGAGGGGGAAGCAGACAGGGGCAAAGAATGGGGAGCTACCGTGGAGCCGGCCGGGGCCAAGATGACCTCAGGGGGAGGAGACAGAGGACCAAGCGGGGACACTAAAAAAGCCAGGGTCCATGGATCCCACGATCTCCCAGCAGCCATCGACTCGGAGGACTCAGACCGGCTGGAGGGGCTGGACGATCCGGGTCAGGAGCCAATAGGAGGGCTTTCTGAGGAGTCTCAGAGTGCCCGGGCAGCGGTGTCTCCTCCCATGACCCCCCAGCAGCCCTACATCCAGTACCAGCACTCCTCCTACCCGCCCTACCTGGCGATGTGCGAGAGCAGCGGGGGCTCCTACAGAGGGGTGTCCCCAACGCTGGTCCACAGTTACCCAGGTAAGAGTCTGGGCTCACTCTCAAGGAGCAGATGTGTAAATCGATTACAGCAGCTGGTTATCGTTGGTTATTGTGTTTGTCGACACTGAACAGATTCAATCTTCTCATTTTACTCACAGCAAGAAAGCAAATTACAATAAATGAATAAAATACAATATAAGAACAACTAGACACGGCAATTGGATTCGAATATAAAGTCATGCAGTAAAACACACACAGTTTATGATAGGCTGCAGTGTAACAGTGAATACATGTGTTGTGTGCACAATTTCAAATTTGATGACATAAGATCTACCTTTTGAAGAAATTCAAAATTGACACAGCAGCAGAAGGGAAAAATGATTAAAAATGAAAATAGAGCTACTATATATAAATAATATAAGGTTTTCTAAATGTGCCATATAAAGATAGAAGTTGTGTATTAGTCAAACCTTTGTTGTCAGTTATTTTATACAATATGTGCAGCAGACTTTCATAGGTGTTGGTGTTTTGGTAAATGTCCTTGTCGTCCTGTGTGCACCAGGTTTCCACTACCCTCTGTACGGAAAGACGGCCGGCAGGGAGGAGTCGGAGGTGACTCCACCCGGCAGAGGAGGGGCGGTGAGCAGCAAGCAGAGCAGCGACTCCACCCCATCGTCGGCCATGGAGCTGCTGCAGCAACAGAGCCACCAGTACCATGGAAAATCTCCTGCTGTGAGACTTCCACTTTACCGCAGCATCACACACACACCTGATGTCTGACGTAGAGAAGGAATCAAGATTTAAATCCACTCTTGTACAGAGTGACACTAATGCTTCACTCACTTTAACTGCTGCAGTTCCATTTAACACTCAGGACATTTACAATATCTTGTAATGGCTTTATTAAGTTCCTGGCAGGAGAGACCGTACATCATAATATGAGGCTGACACGCTCACGCTCATATCTCTGCTACGTTAACACATAAAGGACAAATCAATAAATATACCTTTAAAACTCAACTCAGCTCAACTTTATTAATATCGCTCCTTTCATACAACACTCAGCCCGAAGCAGGATTAAAACAACACGTAAAAAACAAAGATTACACAAGTGTGAAATTGAAAACCCTGAAAAATAAAAGTCAATAATATTAAACACGTAAAATAAACACCAGGGATAAAAAAGTGAATAAAAAACCGTGACACTAAAGCAAATCCCCCAAAAAGAATCTGTGTTTGACCGAAAATATGAAGAAGAAAAAAAGTTTTCTTTCCGGGCATCTGTTGTTTCCCATATACTTGACAATAATAGTAAATTCCTCCTGTTTTTACGAGATAAATTATTGACTATAGACACAAACACCTATTTTTTATACTGAACTCACTGACGCTGTTTGACACGGAGACGTCAGGTTGGAAAGACGAGGAGATTCCAGAGCTGTTGGTGACAGGAACATGTTAGAGATGTGTTTGTGTCTGAGCGTGTGGCTGCCTGGAGGAAATTACAACAACAGCTGACTTCAGAAAACTAGAGATGTGATTTAATGATCCTCTAAAATTCACCAGAAAGTTCCACTCTTGGAAAAGTAATTTATTACCTCTCTTTCCACGGCTGTGCCACACGACCACTTCATAATGATAAGAGGCCTCGACCAAGGTTTTACAACTTCTGTCGCATTAAACTGCTTCATCCAGAGATCCAGTCTAAGTGGAAACATGTAATTAAGTTCTGGTGATAAAGTCGAGGAGGGAGGAGGATCTCAGTCACCGCTGCGTTTTATTATCAGCAGCTTCATCAAAACTTTACACAGAAACACTTCTCCTTAGTTAAAGTCCAGTAAACTTAAGATCCTGTTAATGTGACCGACAAGAGGTGTGTGTGTGTGTGTGTGTGTGTGTGTGTGTGTGTGTGTGTGTGTG